AATTTAATTGCCGATTCGGTCGGATGTTTATTGCAATTCAGCAATAAATTGATATAAATTGCGCTGCAAGCCGCAGCAAAGGCAGACTTAAACCAGTGCAAGTACCTCTCGTTGGAAAAGCCCCTCTGGAATTAAGTCTCCCAAGTGCAAGTACCTCTCGTTGGGAACGCCCCTCTGGGTATCTTCAGCCTTATCGTTGTCCAGTGCAATTACCTCTCGTTGGGAACGCCCCTCTGGACAAGGCATAAGGGTGACGATAAACTAACCTACAGTCCCCCAAGCATCATTGACGTGTGGCCCCCTATAAGGACACCAGTGTACGAAGGGTCATGTATCTTATAGGGTTAGCGTACATTTAAGGTTATATTTGGGAAAATATATATCTATATTTTTATATAATCTGAGCGAGTTTCTCTCCATCAAACCCCAAAGCTACAAACCCCCCATGTCACCCCCGTAAAGCGGGTAGTTGTGACAATATCATATTTTGAATATCGCTTGATATACCCGGCCGAAATACAAGTTGTCTAGCGCGTTGATTTGTTTTAACGAGGTTCATGGAGAAAACGTAATATAGAATCTACGTTTATTTGGGATTCTAAGCGATGGTTTACAAATACCAAACCATCTTCAACAGATAGATCTACTGTAACCTTTTTTTTTAAATAAATTAACAAGAGGCCCATAATATGCTCGGTTTGCCCAGCGAAAAATTATTAGGTGTGGGTTGTAGTTTAATCAGTATAGAATGGCAAGGGCGCCACTGAATTAAAAAAAAAAATTAACAATAAAATTGAATTAAATATGGGATGTTAAAATTTAGAAATACACCTTAAAAAGAATAATCAGCAAACGGTAATTGGTATTTCTGGAAAGGAATTAAATAAGGCACACAACTCAACCAAACCCTGACCTAGATAAACCAATAAAACAATTAAATAAGTTTCAAATTAAATTAGCGTATATTTTACAATAGCAAGTATCGAATAATTTCAAAGTATAAAATCAAATATTGGTGAAACACTTTAAGTAAAATCAATAAAAAAAGTTTAACTTTCAATCAGTCTCATCAAATTCAAAAAAAAATAATAAAAAATAATGATATTACAATGTATAACGGTCGAAATTTGATCGTGGCGCCATCTAAGACAAAGATTCAACACTAATCAGCAATTTTTGCTGTAATTTAGCGATTGACTATCTAATCGGCCGACCAAAATTCAGTTCGTGGGAAAACCCAGAATAGGAAAACCTATTATCTACTGATGAGAAAATTTTGGCTTGATTTTCTCTGCTTTTCCATCCATAGACGCGTTTCGACCTATCAGGTCTCATCAGCATGGCAAGGAAAAGCAAAGAAAACTAAACCAAGTTTCGTGCCTGTAGGCAAAATACAAATAGTACAACGTTCGAAATTTGAGCGTGGCGCCATCTAAGACAAAGATTCAACACTAATCAGCAATTTTTGCTGTAATTTAGCGATTGACTATCTAATCGGCCGACCAAAATTCAGTTCGTGGGAAAACCCAGAATAGGAAAACCTATTATCTACTGAAGAGAAAATTTTGGCTTGATTTTCTCTGCTTTTCCAACGCGTCTATGGATGGAAAAGCAGAGAAAATCAAGCCAGAATTTTCTCATCAGTAGATAATAGGTTTTCCTATTCTGGGTTTTCCCACGAACTGAATTTTGGTCGGCCGATTAGATAGTCAATCGCTAAATTACAGCAAAAATTGCTGATAAGTGTTGAATCATTGTCTTAGATGGCGCCACGATCAAATTTCGACCGTTGTACTATTTGTATTTTGCCTACAGGCACGAAACTTGGTTTGGTTTTCTTTGCGTTTCCTAGCCATGCTGATGAGACCTGATAGGTCGAAACGCGTCTATGGATGGAAAAGCAGAGAAAATCAAGCCAAAATTTTCTCATCAGTAGATAATAGGTTTTGCTATTCTGGGTTTTCCCACGAACTGAATTTTGGTCGGCCGATTAGATAGTCAATCGCTAAATTACAGCAAAAATTGCTGATTAGTGTTGAATCTTTGTCTTAGATGGCGCCACGATCAAATTTCGACCGTTGTACTATTTGTATTTTGCCTACAGGCACGAAACTTGGTTTGGTTTTCTTTGCTTTTCCTAGCCATGCTGATGAGACCTGATAGGACGAAACGCGTCTATGGATGGAAAAGCAGAGAAAATCAAGCCAAAATTTTATCATCATTACAATGTATCTCAATATAGTCGCCATATAGGTTCATTAACACTCGCTGGCCATATCATCAATTTAAAAAGAAAATATGAAGATTTAAGTTTCCAGAACACTTATTTAAAAAAATTGAATGATTGAAAAATTCTATTGATAAATATGGTCAGCTCCTGTAGAAAAAAAATAAATTCAATAAAATCAAATTGTACCTGTATGAAATCAAAGGTTAAACGTTGAAGGTATATAAGCAATATACCTAGATGAAAAATTGATCAATTTTTGGCGTCATAGGTACTTACACAATAATTACAAATTTAGAACACATTGTGCAAACTTGACCTCAGTTCAAATTAATGATTATGATAAATAAAAGATGAAAAAGTACATTATTTGGAAAGAATAATGGATGAAATTGAATCTTTGAAAGTTAAAATGTAATATCCGTAAAAAAATCTAACCAATTATGGTTATTGACCATAAAGTAACTTTTATAAAAAAGGTCGGTAACAAAGGTTATAATTGAAACTCTATACAAGCCTCAATTCCAACATAAAGGTAGAGTATGGTAGTCGGTAGCCATCCAGTCTTTGGTCACTGGATGAGAGAAGTTACACTGGAAGTTACATATTCTAGCCTGGAATCGTGGTATAGATAGAGGCTAGAAGTTCAGTTTTTTTCCTCAAAGGTAGAGAGAGGTACAGGAATCTACATGTGAAGGACTCAAGATCTCTATGCCGAGATGGGGCTTGTTGAAAATGGACCCCTTGAAAAAAACAGCTTCTCGGAAAATACAAGTCCCCGGCAGAAATAAGCCCACGGTAAAAATAGCCCACGGTAGAACTCACGAGTGGGGTCGAAATTCAAACTCAAATAAAACGGTAATCACCAGACTTTTTATTTAAATTTTTTCGCTTATCAACAGATTACTGCTTTACGCAACTTTATTTCGTTAAGAGAATGCCTGAAGGCCGATGAGATACTTTTTCCACGAGAACGGTAATCGATATTATTTCACTTAGGAAGATGGCTGATCCCCTAAGCCACAGTCGGACCTTTTCAAGACCACGGCAAGAGTAGAAAAGGGCTCTTCAAATTTCTCTTCCAGAATAAATAGATTTCACTTGAGAGTTTTAGAGGAAAACACTGTCAACCCTCAGCAATGTAAAGAGTGTAAAGAGTACTACGTTCGAAAACTATCAATGAGGTTAAAGAGCAACGAAGTACTAGGGTCGAGTAGATCTTGTTAGTACAAAAAAAAGCGCCTACTCATTTCGCGAGTTCACCGATAAAATAATTAATTCAGCCGGCAATAGATGCCGCCATATGGCTGAATAATTACCTATATAAAATTATAAAATGTAAAAACTATATATAAAAAAAGCAAATGACATTTGCAATGTTACACTACTCGAAATTTATAGAAATATCTAAGTAACCCTCCATAAGTTCATTATATTTAGGCTAACCATCCAAAATGTAAACCATTACTTTTGACAAAACTGGATCACTGGCTGTAGCCTGTTTAAACTCAGTTCCTTTATCATCTGATATATTTAAATTTTTACTCAAAGTGTGAACAGTGAACTGAAATCCATACATCATCACCTTCATTTTCTTGCACATTTAAATAGTAACATGAAAGTAAATACGGAATGAACATATATATCCCAAGTAAGTAATTTAACGTTAACTTTTTTTTTATTTATTAAAGTAACCAAAGGTTTATGATCTGTTTTGACATTTATTTCGCGACCATAAATAAAGTTATGAAATTTTTTTACCACAAAAACAATGGCGAGTAACGAGTAGCTCCTTTTCTATTTGAGAATAATTTTTCTCACTAGAATTTGAACTATGGAAAACAAATGAAATTGGTTTGTCATCTTAAAAAAGACAGCATCCAAGACCATCTTTTGAAGCATCAAATTGTATGGTTCTAGATTTACATGCATCAAAATAGCTAGCACCGGAGCATTAGAAATTATATTTTTATTTTATCCAACTCAGCAGAATATGCATTTAGCCATTTAAATTCAACTTTAGATTTCAATAATTTGCGTAACGGGGCGGTTAAATCAGCTAAATTTGGTATAAACTGTCTTAGAAAATTTATCATTCCTAAAATACTTTGTAATTCTCTGATATTTTTTGGATATTTTATTTCTTTTATTGCTGCTACTCTTTTTACATCAATTAATATTCCATCTGCTGAAAAGATATGACCAAAATAATTAACAGAGGACTGCTTAAACTGAAATTTTTTGGGATCAAGCCTAACTCCATTTGCAATAGATTTTTTCAAGACAGAATCCAAAATTTAATCATGCTCCTCAGAGGAATCAGCAGCTATCAAAAGGTCATCAATGTACACTTGCACACCCTTAAGTTCTCCAAAATTTTTTTGATTTATTGCTTGAAAATACTCTGGCGCCATATTGAGCCCGAAAGGCAAATGATTAAATTTATAACAACCAAAGTGTGTGGCAAAAGTACAAAGATTACTAGATTTTTCAGTAAGCTCTACATGCCAGAAACCTTCTTCTAAGTCAAGAACTGTAAACACTTTTTTCCTTTGAGTTTTTCAACTATATCTTCAAGAGTAGGAATGAGTACATATGCAGGCCTTTTAATTTCTAAATTTAAATCTCGTGGATCCAAGCATAATCTTAATGAGTCATCCTTTTTCTCGACAATAACAATATTATTAACCCAGCCAGAGGGCTTCTCCACTCTTGAAATGTTCTAAACTTGATAAGGCTTCCTTTAATTTGTAACGAATGGCAAAAGGTAGGATTAATTAATAAGAAGTATAGCCTCATTATTTACTTGAATTTCACCTTTATCTTTAAACTTACCAAGACCTTCAAATAATTTAGAGTTATTATTGACAAATTCATCCTTGGTATTAAACTTACTCAGATAATCTATATTTTCCTTGTGTAGAGTAACGAGATTTAATTTTGCACAAGATTCAAGTCCCAGTGAAGGATGAACAGCTTTATCAGCACTAAATTCAACATTTTTACACTCCACTTTCAGCGAAACTACTCCTACAGGCTTCACTACACTACCACCGAATGCCTCTAAAATTATTTTTGTATCTCGAAGCTGAGACTCTGGAACGCCAAATTTACTCAACATTTTACGTGACAGTACATTTACATCTGCACCAGTGTCTAAATTTAATAGGTACATGATGATCACCAATATTTACATTATGGAACCATGAGTTAATTGATAATACTTTATTACTCTGGTTTTTTATTACAATAATATTGATTGCGAAATCAGCCTCGTCAGACTCCTCCTCCTATTCTTGTAACACTTTTACATTTTTAACATGACATGAAACTGCAAAATGATTTAATTGCTTGCATTTACTACACTTTTTCCCAAAGGCTGGACATTCACGAACTCCATGCTTCTACATTTGAATTTTTCCCCAGATTTCAAAAATCTTTTACCTGCACCACTGGAATTTGGGGCTAATTTATTATAATTGTTATGGTTTCCTGGCCTTTTCTCAACAAACTCCACTTCAGCAGAGATTCCTTTCAAATTTCTAGCCTGAGATTTAAAAATTTCAGCAGCTCGGCATAAATTTAAAGCCTTAGACAAGTCAAGGCCTTCCAAATGTAGCAACCTTTCCTGTATGGCCAAATTCACTGGATTGTGATAATTTCTTGACGTCTGTTAAAAACTGGTCAAATCCTTCACCTTCTTGTTGATTCCTACTATAAAATTTGAAACGCTCGAAAACTATATTTGTTCTGGGGTAGCGATGATCTTCAAAAGCTTTCAGTACACTTTGAAAAGACTTTACTTCTGTTTCCGATAACGTGAACGTGTTGTACACTTCCACACATCCTTCACCAATCAAATTTAGCAAGATGGCAATTTTTGTTTCATCATCTTTTCCAGATTTGCCAGAAGCTTTCAGGTAGATTTCGAAATTTTGTTTAAACTTACGCCAATTTTCACTTAAATTTCCTTGAAGCGACTGATTAGATGAGGTTTTAAATTCCAACTAACTACTTCGACTGCGCCATGTTGTGTTCTTTTAGTGATAATTGAAGACAATATTTTATATTTCGTTTATTTGAAACTTGCAAAAAATTGACACTCTCTACAAGACATAAAAATTGGTGTCAAATAAGGTATGTTACCAGCTCTAAAAACCATTGACGTTCTAATTTAGGGAGTCATCACCTCACAGTACTTTGGAGTATCAGATTAAAAACGACGGACTGTAGGTGATATATAAAACATAGAGTTAAAAAAAAAATATACAAAGCAGCAATGTTGCTTGCGCAGCTTACCATCCTAAACGGAGGAGAAGAAATACACAGAAATTGGATGAGTGAAAAAATGCAGCTTCGATAGTTTATAGGATCATCATCATCATAGGCGATGACTCGATAGCGAGTATTATTATCTCCTTTTATATTCTTATTGCCGTCAATTGTGAGTCTTTTTATGGCTATATAAACCAATACTTTAGTCGCACACTCTTCCACAGTCTTGGCACAACCAGCCTTTGGCTCTTCCTCTAGTTTCTCGCTTCTTCCCGAGGTCCGTCTTTTCGGCCTCGTGCCTGCGTTGCTGTTCTTCAGAAGTTTGTAGTCCGTCGTGGACTACTCGACGCTATGAGGGCCTAGCATTTGCCGTCGCCTCCCAGTTGCTAGTATTGATGCGACACTTTGCTATATTTCCCTTAAGAACATCTTTGTAGCGTTTTTGTTGACCTCCTTGATTTCGTTTTCCCTCCTGTCCTGTCCAGCAAAGTTGGTGCATAAAGATGATGCTAGTTGTGTTGGCCTCCTCTAGAACACTAATGTTCGTTCGTCGTGATATAGATAGGTGTTGAAGAAACCTGTAAATTCACAGCCATTGCGTTGACAACCATAATAATAGTACGGTAGACCAGATGCCGTCTCTGGAGAGAAAGAGAGGGACTCGCTCGAGGTAGAAGCTCGCAGCGAACTTGACGTTACGTTGGACTATTTTTAGAGTTCCAGTTTTTTTTTACAAGTTTCAACAATAAAACATGTTTTTCACATCAAAAAGTTCGGCAACACAATTAGAAAATTGATGCCTCTGTTTTATTTCAAATTGTTCTAATTTTTAACATCATTTAGTACCAGGAGTCTTTGTTCTTGTTCAGCTAGCCGGCCAACGAGAGGCACCTAATCGTTAATAGTCGGTCTTGCCTTTTATTCCGTAGGATCCTTCTTAGGCATCGCTGTTGGTGAACCTTGGAAAAATCTCTCTAGAAGTCGCCCCAACGCTGCGCTAGCACATTTCAAGCTATGCTCGATTTCAGCGTCTATGGTTGCATTCGTAGACAGATGCTCCCAAGGTATGGGAATCATTCTACGTTCTGTAAAGAATGGTCATTTATAGTTATAATTGGGAATTAGTGCCCGGTGCGGGTTGGTGCAGAATCGTCTTGTTGAAATAATTGACCTCTAGGCTGATTGAATTCATTGACAATTGCCTAAAGATCTTTCACCATAAGTATTAGCCATCACGACGTTATCATCCATATTGAAGTTCAATTATCGATGTCGTCGATACTTTCATCTTTGCTCCTAATCAGTTTAGATTGAATAAGCAGCCATCAAGTCTGTACAGGATTTCCACTTTTGATCGCAGGTGACCCTCGACAATGGATCCTATAAACAGAGAGAAAAAAAGTTGGTGCAATAATACAACCCTGTTCAACGCCTGTAGTTATTTGAAAATTGAAAAGACTCTCCTTGTCCATCATTGCTTAGGACGGTAGCATTCATATTATCATGCAGCAGGCGGAGTATCTGAATGTACCTTAGCGGACACCCAACATTTTCCAATATCTTCCATAGAGGTTCTCTGTTGACCGAATCAAATGCTTTCACTAAATTTACGAAGGCCATGTATAGAAGGCGATTTTGTTCTCTGGATTTCCCTTGCATTTATCTGACACTGAAAATAATGTCAGCTGTACCTCGTTTGGGTATGAAACCAAACTGTGTCTCTGGGAGGTTCTCTTCGGCAGTTGGGATGAGGCGATTTGATAATATACTTATACAATAATATACAATTATCTTGCCCGCAATAGAAAGTACAGATAGATATTCCTCTGTGGTTTCCACATTGAGTGTCTGAGTTATCCATATTTTACTTATTAGGATGTGGGTTCGGGCACTGCTCGAGTTTGCCTTTGAACTTCTGCATTATGCGCTTTTCTTTTTCTTTCTAGAAGGTCTTGACTTTCAGTAACGTACTCATCAAACAAGTCTTGATATTTGTTCTGTATGTAGCTGACCGTTTCTTCCGAAGCAGATGTTATTGCGGTCTTAAATATTTTCCAGTGCTTCTCAATGCTTTCTGGGTACTCTAACGGAAGTTTTTGTCCTGATATGATCATCTTGAAAGCGTTTTATGTTAAATTTACATTTGAACTGCTTTTTTTGACATCTGCAATTTGGTGGGATGCGCGAGTTCCTTTTGGCTTGTATCAGCTGATAGTCAGTCAGCAGTCATTCTGGGAAAACAGGTTAAAGACATAATTTCCTCTAGTCCATCAATTTCAGATACCAAATTGAGTGAAATTATTACCTGGAACGTTGTGACATTGTCACTTTTAATGCCTAGGCAGTAAAAGTCCACTTTTACTGCCTAGGCAGTAAAAATACAACTTTTGATCCTGTCAAGTGTCATTAAAAAGCCGCTTTTACTGTCATTCGGAGAAAAAAAAAAATTTGTCCTGACTCTTATGATTTTCATGGAATAGCAACGACAATAATACCTGATTCACTCTTAAGTACGTTATAGACATTATACTGTATACTGTTTCATAGGTTTCAATCCCCGTACATTGACTAGCATTATCAGGGCAAAATATCTAGCCTTAGATATCGGATGAACAAGTGAATTTTGTAAATCAGCTCAACAACCAAAGGAACTTTTTGCAGTTTGACGATATGGACCTAGAAGACTCATACTGACTCATTAGACCAGCTTGTTGCAGATTATTTGGTTCAAAATCACCGCTACACGCACATGGAAGATTCATCGTGAAAATATCTTCAAACCTCACATTGGGCCAAAGATAGAGTTCATATATTCTATACGAAGTTTTGAAAGTGCCATAATGTGCTGATGGTTGATCATCATGAAATTTTTCAATTATGTGCTTGATCTGGGCAGAGGGAGCAACAATTCGTAATACTTTTATAAAAAGTATATTTCGAGAAAGCATGTGTTAACAGAAAATATTATTCTCAACCGTGGAAGAAGAAAATTTCTCAGAATCTTCATGAACTTTTCTAATAATTTCCTTTCGCCAAGCATCCAGATTAAGTAAACTAAGATTCAAGATTGCTACATCTTCGAAACTTCTAGAAAGACCACAACATTGTTGTTGGAGCCCTTATGACGAACAATGATAAAAAAATATTGTGACACAATCAAGCTACAATCAATGTAGCTGCGGATGACTGCTGGACTGATATGAGCCATAATAAACGTGTGCATCCCACCAAAGCATAAATGTCAAAAAAATCAGTGCAAACGCAAATTTAACATAGAACGCCTCAAGACGGTCATGTCAAGACAAACTTCCAAGCCTCTCTAAGCCAGAAATTTCTCTTAGAGTTCCAAGAAAGCATTGAGGAGCACTGGAATATATTGAAGACCGCAAAAATATCTACCTCAGAAGAAACGGTCGGCTTCATACAAAAGAAAAATCAAGACTGGTTTGATGAGAACGACACTGGAATTCGAGACAGGGTGTTCATTTAAAACTTACCATCCCTATTATCTCGAAGCTGAAACATTTTCGAAAAAATCCCTGAAACACGTCAACTATAATTTGAAGGGAGATGAGTTTTTATGCAAAATTTACCTCGCCCCTTTCAACCCTCAAGCACCTAGAGCCACCCCCTAGATAATCTTAAATAGGAAGGGGGTCAAGTAATACATCATTTTGGAGGGTTTTCAATTCCATACATTTTGGTACTAAATTTTAATCCCTAAGTTTAACCGTTTTGAAAATATTGACAGTTGAAAATTGACTTTTTGGCAACTTTGACAGGCTGTAAAACCTAAACGGTTAATTGTAGAGAAAAACAGGATCTTCATTCTTGGATTTTCATAAACTATCATTTGACACTAATTTTGAATTTAACTGGATATCAAATTTAACCGGAATTTTTGATCATTGAGGTACAGCCGACATGATTTAGATATAGAGAGAGTCTTCAACAATCACGACATCAGCGCTGAG